AAAATGTAAAAATTACCTAATTCCCACTAGGTATAAATCCAATTAATGGTTAATTATTCATACATATTTATGTTTCATGCATTTTCTTTGAAGTGGAAAATATTGAGCAGCGTGCTATGCTTATGTCCTATTACTACTAAACAAATTTTTTTTAATGCATACCTTCATTTAAAGTACAATGTGCGGCTTTGACTTGTGAGAAATTAGGAAATTTACACAAATCTGGCTTAACTGGATCTACCTGTGCAGTATTCTTAAGAAATTTATCATCGTATGGATACAAATACTCAGACCACTTTGGATCATACAAAATAATATTTTTTGATCCTACTACCTACAGATAAATAAACATATTTATTAATTGCATAAAGCTTAGATTTGATCAATACAATATTTAAAAAAAAATAACATACTTGAGCCAAAAAGTTATTCTTTGGATCATAATGAGTAGGAGACACTGTTCCTTTAGGACCTAACCATGCATTTATGTCGGGTTCAACACCATCCATGTCTGTTAAATAACAATACTCTGGGACTCTAATATCATCTTTTAATTCTGGAATCTGAAAATAACAATCTATTGTTTAAATTATTTTGTTCATTCTATCACCACTCACTTCAATTTACTTGATTGAAAAGTTGATGCTGTGCAAGATACGCTGGTTTTTCACCTTCTTGAACAACATGAATGTTAATAAATTCTTCAAGTGTTATCAATTTTTGACTCCAATCAGCATCTGCATATGACGATCCTATTTCAACAGGAACTAATCTAGCTCCAGCTAATTTTACAAGATAATTTAAATCTTTCCATTTATTTAAAGCAGGCCAGTGTTCCATATTACCTGAAAAATTGTAAATTAAATAAACAATATTCCATAAGGGTTTACTAATAAAATAGTGTATAATAAGCAGTGTTCGGACTTATCTAGATAAATCTATCTAGGTAATTATTTGTTCATCTTTTATCTTATCTAGATAAATAGTTACAAAGTATCTAAACGTTCATCTTTGATAATTTTTTTACTAATCTAAATAAATTCTTCTAGGTAAATTTTTTTATTGATAAAAATCGCGAAATCGTACAAACCCATTTTTAAATATTTATACAGATTCTCAAACAAAGTTTATGGTTCATAAATAATGTAATTATTTTTATTTATATCATTATTATTATTATGTTTCTAGTAACTAAAATATACCTAAATTTAAAACCATTTAAAAAATAATTGTATCTTTTTATCTAGATAAATATGAGTTAAGTTATCTTTTATATCTATCTAGATACATTTGAGTTAAATTATTTTTATCTTTATCTAGATAAAAAAATACTTATCTATCCGAACACTGATAATAAGGTAATAAAATCGGTAATGGGGAAAAAAAAATTTCTTCCAATATTTTAAATTACATATGTCATGTATATTTTGTTACCTGTGATTTTAACAGGTATTTTAGATTTGAGAAAATCTCTTAAAAATGTTTCTAAGGAGGGTTGATGTAATGTTGAAACATGATCACCATTTCTATGAAGTGTATAACTGTTATTTGATTCTCTATCATCACACAATTTAACTGGAACCTCTAAAAAACAACTAGTTATTTTTGCTACACAGCAACAGCATATAAATTGATTTTTATACCAGGAATAGTCTGCTGTAGAGCTTTACACAATAATGATGCAGCCACAGTTAGTTCATTTCTGAATGCATTGCCCATTAGTAACCCCATATCAATTGCTTTGATAGTTTTTTTCAACATTCTTTCATCATTTTCAGTTTTCAATAATAGTTTGGCCTAAAATAAAATTATGGACAATTTTAAAACATTAGGTACGATTCTAAATACAAATAATTCCTACTTACCTTGAGCAAACTAGCATGGGAATAAAGTTTACGCATGCCATCTGGAGCATCAGCCCAGGAACCAGTATGAAGAGACTCCCATACTTTTTCTAAGACAGCTTCAACACTTGATAATGCAACCTTTGAATTTTCAGTTTGGGAGTCTATAAATAATTATACATATTAATTAAAAATATTCTGTATATAATATAAAATGTATATTTTATTCATGTTTTAAAATTATAAAACAATCAAATTTATTATATTTAGTTCAATAAATTATAAACTAATATAGTACCTACTAAGCTACAAACCTTAATCATTACAACTTTTACAAATTGAATTGTTTTATGATAGATTTTTTTTTTTAATAATATCTTGGAAAAAGGTTTTTGTTTTATTACATTTTATTTGACACTCTCTGCCCTATTGTGGATAATATGATATTGAAAACTTAAATAGGATAGGTTAGGATGGGCAAGGTATAGGCCACCAAGGTTTAGCGTTTTAACACATAATATATTTTACTATTTATTACTATTCATATTTCATTGTTCAAAATTCTGAGTATTCAACTATTTTGAACATATATTATTATAAAACGGGCCATCAAGTTAAACTTGGTAAATGGTAACTGGCCGGGCCTAAAAGCTTAAATAATAGTTTTTATCTGAATATATATATAATCCATTATATTAATTTATTTGCAAATTGTATAGTAAATATTTGAAATACAAAAAATACAAAAATAAATCTAATGCATGATGCATTCACACAATATTTAATGTATGAACTAAATATCATCAACATTTTCTAATTTCTTACCATTTAATGATTTTCGAAATAAAAAATCTAGTGATTTATGCACATCGCTATAGTCAAATTTAGCAGACAGAGATGATTCTAAATGAAGTAATACTTCATCAACAATAATATTCATAATACTTTTGAACGAGATATTTGTGATGGTTGTGATGATTCAAAAATGAATGATCTAATTTTAATAATAAAAAAGTAACAAAAAAATAAAATATTAAACTTGGACCTATCAAGTATCAAATGAACAAATAACAAAAACAATACGTTCAACTAGAATTTCAAATTTTAAGGTACCACAATGTCTAAGAATTAAGATACTATATTTTACATTTATATTAATGTTCAAAATTATATTTAAAATGTATAAAACATTTAAAAAAAGTGGTCTTTACTGTTTACTTTTCGAAGTGCTGGTTATCACGTTAGTGATAAAAGATAAAGCCTATCAGTGTTCAGTTATCTGACCAAGGTGGCGTATTTATATTTGGTCGTGGAGGGAGGGATTGATTTTATTCCAGTATTCCCCGCTTTTAAAGCTATTGTATTAATGTGCTCATGTACTAATGTATAAGATACATGATTAAATATTAAGTATTAACCAGTTAGTTTATCTTGCTAAGATATATCTTAGTCCGTGCTGTAGACGACGGTCACCGGTACATGATGTACAGAAGTCAGAAGATAAGGTGAAGCCACTTGTAAGGTGTAAATATTTACAATATCGACGAGCTGGTGCCAATTTCCACAACAATTTGATAGCTTTTTGACCAAACAAATATAATTTTATGGACAGTTATAAAAAAAAAAACTAAAAATATCAGAAACTGAAAATGTCCGTAAACAGCTGCTCCAAACAAGTCAAAATATTTTGAAGATTGTATGCCGAATGGTGTTTAGCAATTATGTTAAACAATTTTGGGTAAAAAATCCCAATTTTCCTTAATTTTTTTTTCCGGTGCTTTCGAAATCTATTGTGAACTTTAAATTTTTACCTTTCCTATGCATGATGTACCAACTAGATTCACTTTCCCATCAAAAAGATACTGAAGTTGAAAATCTAAGCATTATTTCGACTACTTATCAGTTAACGTGTACACGGACACAAATAAAAATAAAAAAAATACATCATTTTAATAACAATAATACATACATTCAGTGGTGTAGTCCTAAAAAATGCATGGGTTCACTCCTTAATCATTGTAAAAAATAACTTGGGGGCCATGCCCCCAAATCCCCAAGTCTTCTACCATTATTCGGTACTCGTACAATGCTGCATCTATATGTCTATATAATATACGATAGAACCTCATAAATTATGATTAATACCTATATTTTAAACTCATAATCCATTAGAAAAAATTCAAAACTATAATTTTTCTCAAAATATAATTAACAAATTAATGAAACATATTAATATTATTGTTTATTATTATAAAACATTTTTAAACATTTTTATATTATTCAAGTAATTCCCATTTACCATAGTTTGTATTTTATAGATCTTAGTTTAGGGGTGTAGTGGTATTAACTTTTCTTGACTTTTTGTCATCAGCATCTCTATGCGAAGTTATCCAACTTTCGACATAGTCTTTGGGGTTCCATTTGTGTAAATCTGGAACATTAATATTAAATGGATGAACATTTCTATAACAATAGTAAACAAATTACGCTTATCTTTTTTTGTCATTGAATTATTGTTTGTAATTTAATATATTATATTACCCAATAATATTTCCTAAATACATTTTATTGACTAAGTATACTTGAGTAACGTTAATATGTATGGTTCATGGCCCGTGTACCCGCGAACCACGATTTCCATTAAGGGTACCCGCAACCCACATTAATCTAAAATTGGGAAGTGAGTACACGCCGAGGCCGTGTACCGGCGTGTACCCTCCACTACTCCACTGCATACATTCATCGATCAATCTAAAATTATTTTGTGGTTAAACATTTATAAATTGTTCACATTTTATAGCTCAGGATTGAAAATTTAGAACAAGAAAACACGTAAATTATATAGGTAAATAAATTACTTTATTCACAAGAATATCATCAAATATAATAATAGGTATAGCCGTATAGGTAGCTATTATTATTATACAATGTAAAATATAATTTTAAAGATTATAACATAATTGTATATATAAAATATATTTTATCAACGATTAAAATTCATGGCCATTATTTTTATAAAACTAGTTTCGAATAGTTTGTATGCATATTTAGCCGCTAGTAAGCCTTCAGTCACTATCCATCAGTACTCTGGTCTCTGGTAGCTTATTGCATCGTCTTACAGGCTACAACTAAGTTCACATAATATTTTGAATAAAAATGATTTCAATTAAAGATCAGAAATTCCTTTTAAAACTTATTTTATTAATTGTTTATCTAGATTGTGCAAAATGTACTACAGGTAGTCAATAATTGTTAATATCTTAATAAGTTTAATTTGGTAATCAATATTTAAAAACCCTATTTGTTTTAAGGTTGTATCAGTAATAAACAATTATATAGAGAAATTGGATGTAAACCTATTTTCGAAAATGATTCAAATTCTTGTCCAGTGGCATACGACTGTGGTAAATTTATTCATTAGTAGGTTTATCTACAATTTTTGTTATTTAAATTTAACTTTTTTAGAAAACGTTTTTACAAGATCAAGTGACAAGTGTTATCTTAATGGAAATGTCTACGAACCAAAAGCTAATATCTCTAAGCTAGACTCTGCATTAAGCCTATGTGTATCCGGTTGCTTCTGCGATCAGAAAACGAATGATAAGTAAGAACAGTAAGATTGAATTACCTACATTAATAATCAATATATGTATAATATTTATAAGTTGTAATTAAATTATAAGATTTTTAAAATTCGTTGAAATATTGTATTGTAAGTGTAAAAAATTAAAATTAAAAATCTAACTAATTTTTGTTATAGTGAATTCTATTCTCATTTTTACAGAAAAACTACAACTGCATTTGCATGCACTTATGATGTATGTCGGTCTCGTATGTCATTAATAGCCGAACCATGTTATTATAAATTTGACAAAAATTTGTGCTGTGAAACTGAATTGTACTGTCGTAAGTTCCTTAATTATTTAATTAAATTGTAGTAGGTACACGACAAAAATATTACAATATTATTTTAAACAATTGAGAGAAAATGAAAATCCATTTTTCTCGATCTCGGTTAGACAGATGCGACCGGGCTTCAAAGTTTTTAAATTTTATTCGCGTTTTTAATATATTATATGATTTTGATATATAATTCCATTCTGGTTGTATTTACTATTTATCGAATCACTTGGGGGCTGGGGCGGCTTAAAGTCCAAACAGATACAACACAAAATTCGAAAAACGTAAACGACTATTATAGTATTATTGCAATTGACACACTGGACCACTTCTTTATACGCAGTAATATACTAATATCTAGTATTATATACATTTGTGCCTAAACTGGCTACTGTATACTGTATAGCGATATAATACTGACTACTGTCAGAGGCGTTTTTACGATTTCGGCGTCCTAAGTACACACATTTTGGCGCCCCTTTTTCGTTTCCGGCCCTTTATTCATTGTAAAAAAAACTTTTATGCCGCCTCTAATTTGAAAATTTAATTTTTCTCTGTTAAAAGTGGTACCTACCCCAAAAATAAAAATGTATATTTTCCCCATTATTGCACTTATGCTTCTACTAGTTTAGAGAACACTTTTATTTTACTATTACCACTCCATTTATTCCTAATAAAAAAGTCAACCTTTATAATCAAAGTATCTGATCCTGTGCACTTCATTGCTCATTAAATGTACCAACATTTATACCATTATTATTATTATGTTCTTAGTGTCCAACTAAAATATATCTAAATTTAAAACCATTTAAAAAATAATTGTATCTTTTTTATCTAGATATGAGTTAAGTTATCTTTTATATCTATCTAGATACATTTAAGTTGCATTATCTTTATCTTTATCTAGATAAAAAAATATTTATCTAACTTATCTGTTGCGAGTTACATCTAAAAGGAAAGAATTGTCATTTTTTAAGGGCAACGAAGTGCAGCTATAAATAAGCCATATTTATAGTATATAATATATATTATAGAAATGTAAAAGATATAATAAGAAAAGATATAGGTTAACACTTATTTGCCCTCCGTCGCCTTCTTCCTAAATACTCCACTGACTATACAGTAATTATACGTAGTAATCGTAGTATAGAAAATAGAAACCATAATCTAAATTTTGTAAATTACTATAATTAGTTTCTGTAAGTAAATGTTAAGACCAAAAGGTGATATAATGGGATTTAAAATTAACATATTATGTACAATGTATGCAATAAATGTATCATAATAATATTTTTTTTAGCTAAAGAAAATGCGACCATTCATGAATGTGTTTATGATGGCAAAACTTATAGGAATGGACAACAATTTAAAATTCAAAATGATTACCTATGTGTGTGTTCACCGGAATTCAATGGTAAATTATATATAGTTAGTTAAGTTTAAAACAACTTAATGTGAGTTACAAACAAACATATTATTCAAGACTCAAGTTATATATAAAATATGTGTTTTCTTGAATTCTGAATCTTCGTAACTTAAGATAACGCTACACAGAGATATTTGTAGTCTCCGTCTTACAAGTACCTACGTAACATAGGTAGCAATTTAAGCTCAGTAGATCAAGTTTAGTTCCTTTAGTTAAAAAATTAGACTGAATTACGAAACTTGATGGTAAGAAGATTATCCGTATTTGTATGTGGGTGTTTTTACGATAGTTTAGTTTTTAAGTGAGTTATGAGCACTTTTAATTTTTACTATATTATATACGCAAAACTTGCTTAACAATCGTAAAAAACCCACATTCAAACACGAATAATGTTCTTATCATGAAGTTTCATAATAGGTAGATTTACTTTAAATTTTGAACTGCAGAGCTAAACGTGATATGTTGATCCCGTAAATTTATTGTGTTATGCACTTGTAAGACGGATACAACCAATATCTGTGTAGTGTCCTCTTAAATAAGTAGGGCCCGGAACTAAATGACTAAAAATCTTTTTAAAAAAAAAAAATGTTAAAACTACTTATAAGTTATAAACATCAAAAAATGACCACAAAAATATCAAAAATTACTTTATAATGACTTGTCATTTTTAAAAATTTACGTTTTATAAAATTTACTGAATTCTATGCAATTCATGTATCATAATATCATATTGTAAATAATTAGGTATAGGTTAAACATTTTTTAAAGTTGTATTATTATTTATTTAGCACTTTAAAAAATGTTATCTCGAATAGGAACCTTCAACATTTTTTTTTGCAGTTTCATTTAAGTTGATTGACTTTTGGAATTTTTTTCTGATTGACCGGGCCTACAATATAGTACCTGCCTACAGTTTATTAAGTAATCATAGATTGCGACAATAAACAATAAAGATAATGAACGTCGATAATCGACAAATTATTGAAAACTGAAGTGATACAATAGAGTGTAACATTCAACAAGAAAAATGCAAATTTATGTAAAAAAACAGTACAGAAATTAATAAAATGCACCAAAATTACTAAAAAGTAACAATAAAGCAATAAATTCCCAAAAAATGCAAAATAAAAATTGAACCATTAAATTCTATATTCCATGAATCAAATTTCTGTAAAGACGAGCATTGAATCTAAGCATTAGCTGAATAAAAGATGCAAATGCATCAAGTTCCGATCCCTATTAATAAGAATTATAATAATAGTAATAACCGAATATAATAGATTCTAAGCAGAGCTATGAATGTATTAATTGTACAATGAAGTTTGTTAATTTTAAATTTAAATTTAATTTTGATTCGAATCACCTTTTGGAGCAGTAAAAATGCTTAGAATTTCCTTTTTCAACACGGAGTGGTTTCTGCTTGTAAATTGGATCTAGTTGGAATTTTCGGGAAGTCAAAACAGAAAATTTCTAATACTTTTCAAATTAATCTGGAAAAACGATAATAAATTAGAAAAACCTGACATTTTTATGCAAAACTAGTGGCTGCAACTTGTTTGCGCACAATCTATAATTTTTACCTGAAAAATCGAAACTTGTTTGAGCACACGGTTCTATTAAATGTACAACTAGTTTGCGCACACGAAAATAATTATAGTTTATCTGAATTGGGCACTGATAATCATCGATAAAGAGTATACAGAAATATTTTATTAAAATTAACATGAATTTTTAACTTGAACAAGTATTAAATATAATTTATTAACAATTATTAATAAGCAAGTATTAACATGCATTTTTAACCCACTTGAGATTTTAAAATTTAATGCAATGATACTTCTTAGATTTATTAATTATAAGAGCGGTAAGGGGGAATGAGGAAACATTTACACTCTTGATCAAACGCCCTGCCCCACACTCCAATATTAACATATTACCTAAAAATTGTTTTTTTTAATGGGTGGCTTTTTTCTAAGGGGATAAGACTTGAGCCACTTGAAGATGTGATTTAGCTACCTGCTAGTATTAAGATCCAAAACAATGATTGTATTACAAGTTTTCATTAAATAAAACTTAAATGCCATTAGAATAGTTCATCTCAGTATTTAAAAAAATAACTTACCACATGGAAATATCTAAAAATATGGTTAATTATAATACTAAATTTCTTGAACATGTATATAGGTACGGCTAATGACAAATTGTGTAGACAATTTAAATGCAATTATGAACTTCTTTACATGAAAAATATTTTGAATCTAGACGCTCCTCTATATTTTGAAGAAAAGGATGGATGTCCTATCAACTGGTATCAATGTAAGTTTAAAATATATAAATTTGCAATTACTATTAAATTGGTTATCACTTACCTATCAGAACTCAAATGTGATTTGTTAAATATTATTAAATAATATGTACAATATAATCGTATTTTCTAGCTGAATACGAATCCGATTTTGGTACTGTTGAAGTATCTGCAGGAACCGTTAATTCCAGTAACCATGTGTGCAAATATGGGAATCTTAGTGTACCAATAGGCCAAGAATTAAAGATTGACCGACTTTCAATCAGAAATTCTGAATCAGATTCGTACAAAACGATATGTACTTGTGATACCCCTCCGTTAATAACTTGCATTACGGGTAGAAAAGATATTATAAATGGTAAATTTAATATGCATATAATATAATATAAATTTAGCTTAAATATTAAATATATAAATCCATATCAATAGAATAAGCTGATAATACCTATCCGTATAATTATATTAATAATAAAATAAAACTATCCAACTTTTTATTTGAGATTGTTGTATTTGACATTTATTTTTTAAAACTTTATAAAATATATGTAAAATAATCTGTTTGAATTAAAGAAGTGCGTAGACACTGGAACTCTGCAATTTATAAATATTATAAAACAATATTATGTCTTGTTTTTACAATTAAGTTTTTTTAACCATTTACATTTAATAAGCTCTACATTAATAATATATTCATAATGTAATATAATTAATTGATATTATTAGCGTAATAGAAAAGTGTAAGACTAACCTTGAATACGTAGGTACTTAAGTATGTTTTTAAATATTTCAATAACTCTCTTACATAACTAATACAAAACAAATTATAACAATCATAATACTACAGCAACTAGTTACAATTAAAGTTTCTCTACATTATTATATTTATAATGTAATATAATTGAAATTATTAGCGTAAAAGCAAAATGTAAGACTAACCTTGGATACGTAAGTATGTTTTTAAATATTTCAATTACTCTTTTACATAATTAATACAAAACAAATTAAAACAATCATAATACTGCTGCAGCAACTATAGTTACAATTATAGTTATTATGAAAATAAAAATTATTATTGTCAAGTTGTGTAATTATTAGAACAATTATTATTTATGTTATGTATTTTAAATGAGGAGTAACTCAAACTCAATTAATGAATTTCGTCAATAGTTAATACCGTATAGCTTAACTTGGGGCACAAATACCTTTTTGTTTGTTATCGTAATTCGTAGCTACACCGGTCGTAATGACTTTGAAATGACGTCTGATAAGAATTTACAAACTAACTAAATATCAATTAACATTTGACACTAAAATCAATGAGGGAAACGTTCAAAATATTAAGTTAAGAGGACGTCGCACCTGCATGTGTTGTCTCCGTCTTACACACGTATGACATAGCAAATTTTCGTTAGCTAGTTTCAATAGGGTGCTGTCATTTTTGATTTTAGAGTGAATTGACCTATTATCAAACTTTTACGTAACAACATTATCTGTGTCCTCTCGTTGGTCTTTTACGATATATTTTTAATTTTTAAGTGAGTTATGAGCATTTTCAAACATTAATATTTTACATACTGATAACTCACTTAAAAATTAAAATATCGTAAAAAACCAACTAGAGAACACAGATAATGTTGTTACGCAAAAGTTTTATAATAGGTCAATTCACTCTAAAATCAAAAATGACAGCACCCTATTGAAACTAGTGAACGAAAATTTGCTATATCGTACGTGTGTAAGACGGAGACAACACATGCGGGTGCGACGTCCTCTTAAGTTTAGTTTTTAAGCATTTGAAAAAAGCACGAATTACTTTACCAATCTGAGGCCTTAATTCAATCTCACTTTACTTAAGCAAGTTGTAGTACGAAATATGCATTAATGAAAACTCAAAACATATAAGTTCATACCCGTTACCCTTTAAATGTATCAACTCTATATGACTCAAACTTTGTTCAATTTGTTAATGTGTGTGGTGTTCAAAATGTATCTTAACTTTTCCGTTGCCCGGAATAAAAATTCTGATTCGCAGCAGTACCTATATTATCAGGTAGACAATCTACCTGCGGAAGATCGCGGACCCCGTGATGTTTGTACGTAACTTGATAATTTAACTCTAAAGTATCAAAGTTATACCAAATATGTTACTGAACTCCTCCTAAATGGTTGGACTAATTGTGAATGCCGAGTCTGTCGACCAATATTTCCTCCTCGTCCACGAATGGTATACCGAATGGCGTCGTGATTGATTTATGTACCATATTATTTATTATTATTATACGTAAATTATATGTGAGTATAATACGCTCAATATTTACGTAATTGTCAGGGACGGATTGGAATTTTGGACCAGTCCGGGAAAATACTTTATTAAAGGCCCACTATTTGTTGGGAGGTTGGGGGCAACTGGCAAGTGTACCATACTGAAGAATGAAGAAAGTAATTTTTTTTAGTATTTTAAAGGGTAGTCTACTGTAATCAGTGTTATTATAAAATCAACCTTTAACAATAAAATGTAATAGGTAATAAAAATAATAAAATGTTAGTAACTTTTTTTTTATTTGAATAAATAATAAAACTGGTTTAATTTACAATGAAAGATTTTTTTTTTTAAAGAACTCTTTTTATATAATTTTTTTTTTTATAATTATTATACTAGGATGGGTGTTGATGAGAAAAAGTTTAAGTTAAGTTAAAAACTGAGTTAAAAAAAAAACATTAATTTGACCAGCCTTGTTAAGCCTTTGTTTTTTAATCAATAAATCATAATTTATACTTATAGATAATTATTATCTATAATTTTTAAAAGTATCAGTTGAATATCACACTAAAATAATTTAACGTATATATTCATATTAAAAAAATAAAATATTTACCTATTGCATTAAGTATTTTGCAAAATATATTGTTGTTTCTCTCATTCTCTATCAATAAATTAAATTGTAGATTATTGTACTTATGTACAGTAACAGTTTAATATTTTTAATTATTAATATATTATTGTTATAATGACAAAGTTCAGCTAAAATTCGTTTAGCTATTCTGAGACTTGATAAATTATTTAATGCTTTTAGAAGTCTTTGCTTCTAAAAGAAGTATTTTTTTTATTTTTGTCTCTGATTTTTTCAGCTCCTCATTTTCGTTTTTTACTTCAGTCTGATCCAACCATTTCCATTTTATTTTATAATTCGCAACTATTACTATTGTAATATAAAATATTTTATGAATTATTCCTAATTAAGTACTTGGATTTAATTATAAAATATAACCAATTTGTGCCGAACTGCTGACTGCCGAGTGCTGATATCGAATTTTGAATGACGATTGATATTTTAATATGAATAATATAGATTTTAAATAAAAATATTCTTATTAGGTATTCATATTAACGACCAGCATCGACTTGTATCGTCAAAATTCGTCGTAATTACTCATTAAACTCAACCCGCCTGCCAATCTGATCGACGACAACCCGAATAACCAATTATTTATAGATTTTACTGTCTACGGAAGTTGATTTTTTGATTACGGTTATTGTTATTGATAATTAATATTATTATTCAGTTTCTGTCGTAGACGTTGTATAAGTACTTGTATTATTACAATTTACAACGTTTACGTTATAATATTATAGACTGTAATATCATTGAATGAATAATCTATAATCAATGGTAATATTTATTAATATTTAATTATTAGATTATATTTACGTCTACCTACTATTTACTGTTTAGTACGCGGCCTATCGGGAATTTCCCGATTTCCCTATGGCCCAATCCGTCCCTGGTAATTGTGATACATAACACAGCGTACAAAAAAATTAAATGCATTGAATGAATACACTTATTTCACGACAACCAACAATCCTATTAATATTATAAATGCGAAAGTCTGTGACTTAGTTACTCTTTCGCGTAAAAACTACTTAATGGATGTTAATGAAACTTTACAATAATATAGCTTATACATCAGAATAACACATAGGCTACAAATCATCACCCTAGGTCCAACCAGGCGGTGCATCCGAATTGCATGCCAAAAAAATAAATATAAATCGGGTCGTCCGAATTGCATGCCGTCTCTTGGAGGGGCCTGTCCGAATTGCATGCCATCTCTTAGAGGGGTATATATCCGAATAAATAACTTACTTTTCAACTGGAGGATCGGGATTTTGTTACATTACAATAAAACATATAAATATTGTAGAAGGTGACACTGTGAATAAGAATCATAAAATAAAACTATTTTTTTTTCATCGACAACATAGGCCATTAGTTAAATAAAACTATTGTAGTTTAGGGTAATCAAGTGAGTGTATTTTAAATAATATTATTTTTAAATTTGGTGGTTTTTTTTGACATTTCGGGCACACAATATTACAATTATTTAAATAAACAAAATAATATATAATAATAATTCATAATTTCAATATTATTAATCTGTTGTGAAACAGACCGAGACCACAATACACTACATTACTCCAATATAGATACTGTTTGGGAAAATATTTACACGGATATAAAAATATTTCAATCCAGAAACTAATCACTATAAACAGTTGTAACAACCATACATAAAAGAGCGTTTCTATACATGAATTAATTTTTTTTTTAAAAAATGAGGAAAGTCCAAAAAAAAATTTAAGTTGTTTAAGTGCATAGTAAATAAACGTGTGGTGTACGGCATGTAATCCGGACAAAGCCCTCTAAGAGATGGCATGCAATTCGGACAGACCCCTCCAAGAGATGGCATGCAATTCGGACAGACCCCTACAAGAGACGACATGCAATTTGGACATTTTTTTTTTTGGCATGCAATTTGTATGCAGTCCAACCAGGAAATGTGCTCCAACGGGGATTTAGAGATTTACGGTGAAAATGTTTGTTTATAAATGGTTGCCATAGGTTTTAAAACTATTATAAACTATTATTGGTTGCCGTGAAATAAGTGTATTCATTCAATGCATTTAATTTTATATAACTATAATACTTTAGAGTTAAATTATAAAGTTACTTACAAACATCACGGGGTACGCGATCTACCGCAGGTGGATTGTCTACCTGATAATATAGGTACTGCTGCGAATCATAATTTTTATTCCGGGCAACGGAAAAGTTAAGATAAATGTTGAACACCATACACTGAATATTAAATAACGAATTGTGCAAAGTTTGAGTCATATAGAGTTGATACATTTAACGGGTAATGAAGTGCACGGGATCAACTAGTTATCATTATAATAGTTTTGAAACCCATGGCAACTATTTATAAACAACAATTTCCACCGTAAATCTCTAAATCCTCGTTTGAGCACATCCCCTGGTTGGATCTAGGGTGATGATTTATAGCCTATGTGTTATTCTGATGTATAGCTATATATGTAG